ATTGAGCATCTTAGGAAGGGCCCATAGTGGAGCCAAAGCTACCATCTTTCAGTCCAACACAGGCAGTTCATCCATGGGGTGTTTCTTTGGTTGAGCACCAGGTGATGTAGTTGGCTTCTATTTTGGTTGCCATGTTGCACCAAAATATGTAGCTTTTAGTGTTAGAATCACATGCATAGTGATGCTCACACTGGGAAAGTTCTGCATCATTAAGCCTGACTGAGAAATAGCAGGTTCATGTCACATCACGTCACACTCTGTGTGCAAGAGCCAGTGCAGTAGGTCATGCTCTTTTAATTGCTATGTTTCTTGTTTCCATCGCTCCCTCTTTTCCCTCTTTTTGCTAAGTACATATTTCTAGTGACCACACAGTCCCCATGCATGAGTTTGAACCCTGTACAGAAAACCTACAACCGCTGTCAGGAACTATTTGATGACTTGCATCCATTAGCATGGAAGAATAGACCCAGAAGAAGATGAGAGAGATTTTGAAGTTGTTTAGAGAATTGAGAGGGGCGTACAGATAACTTCTAAGTAGTGTGGAGAGGGACTTTGAAACCACTGTGTAGCTCCGGTTTCTGTTAAGTCAGCTCCATGTGTGGTGCTGTTCCACTGAACTTTTTGGTGAATTGATTTTCTTATGAAAAGTTAAAAACAAAGAATGATTTGTAGTCAGATCTTCTATTATGAGAACTGTCTCCACACACTAATCATCATGCATAAAAACATTTTTCATGAGTGTCATGGTGGTGGTGGTGGTATCACGTCTGTTGTCCTTACTATAACTAAGTAACTCTACAGTCCATCTCCGGGTGGACTCATTTTTCCCATGGGAATGATGGGTGGCAGTGAGTCATGCTCCCTTTCTGGCTGGTCACCCCTGTGCCTGGCAATACTTGAAGACCTGGCTGGAGTTAAGGGTACAGTCTTAACATGGAGGACCACAGTGTTTTTGTAGAAAGATAAAGGATAAATTCGGGGCTTGTATCTGACCGGATCTTGGTCTCAGGGGTGCCATCTTTCCCATTTTAATCTTTAAATCTTTTGCTGTATGGATCGCCCTCAGTAGCTGCTCATTTTAGCACGAAGGTTGAAAAAAAGTTTAATGTACTCAGAATGCAATGACTGCACAAAACTCCAGCAGGAGATACCATCGGCTTAATTATCGGCTTAATTATCCCAGCCAGAAAGAGGTTTCACACTGTAAGCGTGGAGGAGCCTGCCTACTCCAGTGGTCACTCCTCCCCTCCTCCAGACGATTGGTCTAAGTGGCTGGTGTCGTTCCAGGCCATTGTATACATAGACAAGGATAGTTCCCTTTCAAGGATATTGTCATTGTGTGATTAAAAACAGTGTGCCCTGCACTTTGTGGTTCAGGAATAAACCTTAAAACTCCCTTGAAGGGCTTCCCTGGTGGCGCAGTGGTTGAGAGTCCGCCTGCTGATTCAGGGGACGCGGGTTCATGCCCCGGTCCGGGAAGATCCCGCATGCCGAGGAGCGGCTGGGCCTGTGAACCATTGCCGCGGATCCTGCGCGTCCGGAGCCTGTGCTCCACAACAGGAGAGGCCACAACAGTGAGAGACCCGCGTACCGCAGAAAAACAAACAAACAAACAAAAACTCCATTGAAGATCTGTGGGAGAACAGTTTTCTAATGAATCAATGCAAAATGCCCACGTTTGTATTTTATATAATCAACTCACTTTCGAAATTTGGCCCCATTTCTGGGCCTTTTGGTTTACTAATTTTATTTATTTATGTTTTCCTTTTGGATTTACAGGTCAATGTTAAGGATGCACGGTTTCAGGCAATGTATACTTCCCACTTGTTCAATTTGGATCCTTCAGATCCTAATTTCAAGAAAACAAAAGCTATGGAAAAAATCCTTGAGGAGAAAGCCCGTCAGAGAGAACAAAAAGAACAAGAACTTACTCAGGCAATAAAGAAAAAAGAGAGTGAAATTCAGAAGGAATCACACAAGAGATCCATTGATCCTGCCTTGTCAATGTTGATTAAATCTGTAAAAAACAAAACAGAGCAGTTTCAAGCAAGAAAAAAGCAAAAAGTCAAATAGGTGTATGTTGTTTCTTTTTGGATTGAGAATGTATAAAGTATACAGAAGTGATGGAAGGAATACTTATTGGGGACAGTGCTATACCTTTCAAGAATATGAATAAAAACTGACCGTTGTAAAATTTATTTTCCGTATATAACAGTTAGACCTAATTGTGTACGATTGATAGATTTGTACTGTGTATTTCCACAGATTAATCATAATCCAGATTATAGGATGTATAAAATTTTTATATTTATTACTCTGCTAGCTTTTTGTAAAGACTGTTTACAGTTCTATGTAAAAAATAGAGGAGTGCCCAAGTCTTAAGTCTGAATAAGAGTTAGGAACAACTTGAAAATATGTATAGGCAATACATTAATTTATCTGGAAGCAGGAGGCAGATTTAGATGCTTGTTTAAATAATTTATATTTCTAGCCATAATGAATAGAAGCTAATAACTTTCTTTGTTGTTTGGTCATGTTTATTAATTTGTAAATAAAAATTTTTATTATTTTGTATAGCACTGAATTCATTTTATTCACCTCCAGTAAACTACTCTCTGGAAAAATATCTGAAAAACTGACTAATTCTTTAAGGGGACAACTCCATGGAAAGGCAGTTCCAGGTCTGCATTGTTCATAATTATATTTGAAATGTTCATGAGCTCTGCAATGATTTTTATGTTTGTAGTAACAGAAAATTCTTCTCTCTGCCCTTCAGAGTTTTGGAATGCTTGGAAGGATGGGTATGCTGCTATAGAGTTTAAGGAATCTTAATCCTTTTTAAAATTAAATTAAAACACACCTTCAAAGCCTTAATACTCCTGGATTTCATCTGGTCTAGGTTTTGTAAACTATTAACTGACCACTTAGAAGAATTAGGTGTGCTGTATAAATAAATGAAAATAAAAACCAAAATAGTCACTTGGAATGAATGATAAATATGGTAGCTTCTGAAAGGCAGTAGAAGTTTGGCCAGGTTTGTGGTTAATAGTAAACTTAACATTATTGGTACAAAAATTCAAGCCTGCCAGCATAGTATGTTTTCAAGAATAAAAGGAGGTAAGACTCAGAATGATATCAAGATAATAAGGGCATATGAACAGTCTATGAAAGGGGAAGGAAAAAAGAGGGTATCTAAAATTGCTCATAACAGAAAAATGCAGAGTATTGTGCGGGGGATGGTGTTCTTTTTTTTTTTTAACATCTTTATTGGAGTATAATTGCTTTACAATGGTGTGTTAGTTTCTGCTTTATAACAAAGTGAATCAGTTATACATATATATATGTTCCCATATCTCTTCCCTCTTGCGTGTTCTTTTCATAAAGTGCTAATAACATTGTTAGATAATTCAGCCAAATAAAGCAGTATTTGTGTACTCATCACTAGAAGATCATAAATCTTAATATATTTTTGAATATAGTCTATAATTGTATAATTATTCATATTTCATTTTTATGCAAGGAAAAAGACTTTAAACTTTAATCACAGTGTGGGGATTACTCAATTTGATTTTAAGATTCCTGTGAAACTTACTCTTTTGGTTTTTTAATTGGTTTGGTTTGGTTTGGTTTGGATTTTCGTTTTTGAGCCCTTTGTTGTTAAGTCACTGTATTTAATTGTAAATCTCATTTTACTAATCAGGCACATGATTGATTATAACAAATAAATTGAGCATATAAGCTTTGCACAGCCCTGGCTCCTTTTCTCAAAGAATTGATATTTTTTAAGTAGGAAAAAAAATGAGAATTGCATTATCAGGTACTGCATTAAATAAACATAATACACCAAGAATGTTAGGTTCTCAATAAATACAATAATTGCTGGTAGTATAAATCAGGATAAAAAAATGGCCACTGTCATAATTCAACAAACAATGTGAGGGTAGTTTGGGTGACTCTTAAGGTCACATTTATTTGGATTGTTTGTTGTTGTTGGTATTCTTGATACCAAAACCGGATGAAGACAGTACAAGTAAAGAAAACCTACAGACTGGTATTTATTGTTAATATGTAGAAATGAGATTGCTTCTGGAGAATTAATGTCTTACAAACTTAGGCATAAAAAACCTCAACAGAATATTAACAAATTGAATCTGACAATGTATAGAAAGAATTATACACCATGGCCAAGGGGATTTAATTCCAGGTTTGCAAAACTGGTTCATCCACAATCAACCAATGTAATCCACTGTATTAACATGCTAAAGAAGAAAAAGTATATGATCACATCAATTGATGAGAAAAAGTATTTGACAATATCTAACATCCATTCATGATAAAAACAACTTTGGAATAGAGGGAAACAACTTGATAAAGAGCATGGCAGAAACCCTACAATTAGCATAATTAGACCGAATGTTTGCCTAAGATTGAGAACAAGGCAAGGCTGTCTTTTAATCGTGTCTTATTTTCTGTATTCTGATCCTCTGACTACTGGGTGGGTTCTTGCTGTTCCTACAGAGACTGCCCCTCCCAGGGCTGGCCAGTTCCCAGAGTTAGTAAATAACTTGCACACAAGCATGCCTTTCGAATGCAAAGCAACAAATCCAGAGCCTGTACCTTCAGCCACCTTTATTGGGCTTTTCACACAGTGGGCCACTATCCTCGTGCCCCACCCTAGATCTCACTGAAATTCAAGCTAGCCAATCCTAAACTTTCTTATCCTGCCTCGCCCATCCCTTCCCAAAGAAGCCACAGTAAAACCCCTTGCCCACATTTGCCCCTGTTCTCTGCCTCCTCACCAACCCCAGTGTTTCCCTGTGTGACCCCCTTCCATGGCATGCTAGGATATAAAAAACTTTGGCTGTAAAAAACGTCTTCAATCCCAACAGTTATTTCCGTATCTTCGTATCTTACCATATCTGATTAATACAAATCCCATTTACCCTTAAAACAATGTCCACGCTCACTACTCTGGAAGTTCTAACCACTGCAACAAAGCAATAAAAATAAAAAGCGTACAGTTTGAAAAGGAAGAAATAAAACTGACGGGGCTTTCCTGGTGGCACAGTGTTTAAGAATCTGCCTGCCAATGCATGGGACACGGGTTCCATCCCTGGCCCGGGAAGATCCCACATGCCGCAGAGCCACTAAGCCCGTGCGCCACAACTACTGAGACTACGTGCCGCAACTACTGAAGCCCTCACACCTAGAGCCCCTCAGTAAGAAGCCCACGCACCACAATGAAAAGTAGCCCTTGCTCTCTGCAACTAGAGAAACCCCGCGCACAGCAACGAAGAACCAACACAGCCAAAAATAAAAAATAAGTAAATAAATTTACTATAAATTTTATTAAAAATTTATTAAAAAAAGAAAAAAAACTGACCCTATTTGCTGATGGCATGATTGTCTACATAGAAAATCCCGAGGAATCTACAAAAACAAAACCAAAAAAATCCTCAAACTAAATAAGGAAGTTCAGCAAGATCACAGGATACAATGTCAGCATATAAAAATCAATCACATCTCTATATACTAACTATGAACACGTGGAAACCGAAATTAAAAACACAAATGTTCCAAAGAAAATAATATACTCAGGTAAAAACTTACCAAAACATGTACAGAGCTTGTATGCTGAAAATTACAAAATGCTGATGAAAGATGCTCTTTTTTCTTATTGTCTGAAGAGTCTGCAGTGATATCCCCTTTTTCATTCCTAATATTGGTGATGGGTGCCTTTGCTATTTATTTTTGGCTAATCTGGACAGAGTTTTATCAGTATCATTGAGCTTTTGATCTATTGAACAACAAGCTTTTGATTTCGTTCATTGTTCTCTATCACTTTTCCATTTCCAATTCCTGTGGAAGTCTTCCCCCAGCTCTCCAGCAGCCAGATTCCTAGCATGTCCCATTAGTGTGGCACCTCGCCATCCAGTTAGCCACAGCTGCTCTCTCTCATGCGAGGTGTAGACCTCAATCCCAAGGGAGGAAGGGGCTCTTCCACATTTGCTCCTTATTTGAGTGCTGTGCCTCAGCCATAAGAATAGTGGCTGTAACCTACATTTGTGATTCCTGGGTTCTTTAGAGTTCTCTTTTTCCCTTAGTTACCCACTTATTTGTCAATCCTTTTACTCTAATGCCCTGTTTCAATGATTAATTATTTAAACTTTCTTTGTTCAAATTGTTTCTCTCTTTTTAAAAAAAATTTATTTAGCTACATTGGGTCTTAGTTGCGGCATGCAGGCTCTTTGTTGCAGTTTGAAGGCTTCTCTCTACTTGTGTCACTCGGGCTGCAGAGCACACGTGCTCAGTAGTTGCAGCATGTGGGCTCTCTAGTTGTGGTGTGAGGGCTTAGTTGCCCCGTGGCATGTGGGATCTTAGTTCCCCGACTAGGAACTGAGCCCTAGTCCCCTGCATTGGGAGGTGGATTAACCACTGGGCCACCAGGGAAGTCCCTGTTCAAATTGTTTCTGTCTCCTGATTGGATGCTGACACCCAGAGATATTGTGCAAAGGGAATCTACTCACCTGAACCATATTGGGTCCTGAATGATCATTCTACTCCTTTTTTTTTTTTCGGCCGCACCACGCAGCTTGTGGGACCTTAGTTCCCCAACCAGGGATTGAACCCGCGCCCAGCGGTGAAAATGAAAGCACGGAGTCCTCCTAACCACTGCACCCCCAGGGAATTCCCAATCCTCCTATTCCTAAATCTGTATTCCCATGCTCATGAGGCCCAGCTGTCTCACCCTTCCAGAGCATGCAGGTTCCCTTGAGTCCTGACCATTCTGGTTACCTATTACTTTATAACAAACCACCCGCAAACTTTGCAGCTTGAAAAAAACACAGTCATTTAGTTTTTCAAAACTATTCACTTTGCATAGGGCTCAGTGGGGAAGGCTCATATATTCTCCACGTGGCATTAGCTGAGAACTAGAGGATATGCTTCTAAAATGCCTCCTTCATGTGACCTGCAAGTCAGTGCCAGCTGTTGACCGGTAGCTGTGTTCCAAGGTGAGTGAGATGGAGATTCTATCACGTTCCATGATCTAGACTCAGATGTCACATAGTGTCACTCCTCCTATCCATACTTAATTAGTTAAGGCAGTCGAAAAGGTTTTCCCAGGTGAGGGGATATAAACTCCACCTCTTAATAGAGGAGAATGACAAAGTCCTGGAAAAGGCTGCGTGTCCAGAAATATTGTTGCAGCCATCTTTGGAAGATGAGACCTGCTGCACAGGCCACTTAATGAAAATCTCCCCCACACATTAAAAAATATGTATATTACAATTACAGTAAGTGCTCCATTCTTTGAGATCACCTAAATGAGTCTGTAGTCTTTGCAGTCATAAGAGTACAAGTAACAGCCCAAATCAGCAGAGAAAACTCTCCACCAGCAGTTGGACCATAATAGACAGGATCATTAAGAAGGTCAGACCAGGAGAAAGGTTATACATGCTCCTTTAAGTGACTATGGATGAAACCAGTGGTTGTTTCCCAATATCTGTTCTTTCCATAGTAATAGAATCCTTTAGTTGAACATAGGGCTTTCCAGAATAAGACAATTTTACCC